CGAATAATAATAATAATAAGGCCTAACATCAGCAATGTGTGTACGGCTCTAGCATGCGGAATGGATAGCAGCACTACCGCTTCTGTTGCTTTGGATAATAAGACAAAAAAAAGAGGGTGCATAGACACATGGCGTGCCAATGTTTTCTCGCACGTCTTCATCACTCACTTGAAAATGAACTGTTTGTTTGTTTTTTTTCCCCCGCCTGCTCTCATTTCAAGTATCACAGGCGTTTTGATTGACAAATATGTATATATATGGCTTTTATGCGTTTTTCTGCTTATGCTTTTTTCTTGTTTCCTGTGGTTTATTTCCTGGGTAACCTGAAACCACCCAACCCTCACAAACAAAGAAGAAACATTGAAGCAGACGGCAGGGATTGTGTGCCGCAATAGCAGGCGGATTAAGTGTTTGCCTCCAAACGAAATCACACCGTATGGATCCCTCGTCACCAGAGACACATGTGGAGAACGTCGGTGGCAATTGTGTGATTGTCACCACACTGATGCCGTCTACTGCCGCTTCTCATAATCCACAGCACCTTCCCCGCTCCGCCCAAGCAGAGGCGCAGCCAGTTTTTGTCCCGAGCAATCGCTGGCCCCCGACTCTTTCACTGGCTCCAGGGCTAAACTATTCCGTTCACCTTGACGAAACAGCCTCTGCTGCATTCACGAAGGCTTGTCCCGCTTCTTGCTGCCGCGTGACGTCGCACGAAAATGTTCGCCCAGACACACGACAGAACGAGAATCACTGGAGGGGTTCGAGCGAAATGGCCTCTCTCGGTTCACAGGCACTTGTGCCCAGGGGTGCAAATCTGCTCCCTTCCTCCTGGGCGGTGAAACGGACGCCCCACCTAGGCTCTCTTGTCGTCGTGCAGCGATCACGACAAGCAGACGCCGTCGAAAGGATCGCGTCCCTCAGTGAGGTCGAAAAGGTGTCGCATCGAAGTGAGGTGGAGAACATGCGCATTCAACTGGAGAGGGCAAATGAAAGACTAGAGGCGGCTCAGTCCCAAGCGGAGCAAAATTTTATTGAACGAGTCCGTGAGTTTGAAGAGACGCATCGCGAGGAGGATCGCCGTCGCCGGCAGCAGTTTCAAGAGGCCTTATCGAGCCTTCGGGCGGAGAATGAGGAGCTGACGCGGCGTCTAAAGTCTATGGAGGACAGCGCAGGTTGTGCTGCTGTTCGAGAGCGGGAAAAAATGCAGAGTGAGTGGAGTAGTCGTTTTTTGGAGAAGGAAAATCAGTGGAGGCAGCGAATTTGTGCCGTGCAGAAGCAGTGGGAGGGTTGCGTGGATGAGCAGGTGCGGGAAAAGCGCGAGGCTCTACGACAAGTGCAGGAACTTGCGCATGTGGTCACAGAGCTTGAGGTCACCCTGCAACAGGTGACTCGTGAGAAGTGTTGGGCGGAACAGCAGCGTGACACGCTTTTGACTAATCAGCCTCAGGGAACTGGCATGGGTGCGTGTGCTAAAGGCGAAGAAATAGTGGTAGAAGTTCAGCCTGATCACGAAGGGGAGGTGGCGGCCCTGCGTCGTGCCTTGAAGGAATTAGAAGGACGTGAGGCAGCACTCATGATGCAGTTGGAGGCATGCGGGCAGGAGGCGGCTGTGCAGGAGGACAGGTTGGAAAAACATCTGCAGCAGGTGCGCCAAGAGCTAGAACGTGAGAGGCGCCGAGGATCTGATGTCGTGAAACTGTACAGTAGTCAGGTAGAGTCTCTGCATCAACAGCTGAACGATGCCTTGCGGAGAAACAAGCAGCTGACGAAGGAGCTGGCGAGGTTTCGGGGGTGATGGGGTGCGGAGAAAGCAACGGCAAGGAATGACCCCTCACCTACAGCGTAGACGAACGTGTACGCTCTTACTTGTATGTGTTGTGCCATTTTTCCCCTGACGAACGCGTGCCGTGTCGTTCCCTCTCTTTTAGGTTGCTTTTGTCACTGCAAACTTGTTTCCTATTCCGTTTTGCTGTTACATTTCACTGCTCTTTTTGGCGCCGCCTTCTCTCTCCTTCTCGCGTGCTTCTGACGAACGTGGCGACCATACAGCAAGGCTTATTCGACGCAGTCTCTTCCCGAAACAAGAAAGCAAAAAAAAAAACAACAACAACACACACGCAAAAAAAAAACAACAACAACAACAGCCGCCACTAGCAATATAAATATATAATCAGCCTTATTGAACGGAAGGATGTTTCGTGGCACAGCCGCTGCGAGGGCAGGGAGCCCCAAGCTGAATCCCTTTCTGAGGCACGTTGAAATGCTGGCAGCCGATGGCGGAGAGGCAAAGTACTTCAAATTGCATGAAATTGATCCCAGGTATGAGACCCTGCCATTTTCCATTCGCGTGCTTCTTGAGTCGGCAGTACGTAACTGTGATGAATTTGACATCACTTCGAAGACGGTGGACAACATATTCAACTGGAGGGAAAGCTGCCAGAAGAACATTGAAATTCCCTTCAAACCGGCTCGTGTCGTGTTGCAGGATTTTACTGGCGTTCCATGCGTGGTGGACTTGGCCGCTATGCGAGATGCAACAAGGCGCTTGGGCGGAGATATAAATAAGATTAATCCCCAAATCCCTGTGGACCTTGTTGTGGACCACTCGGTGCAGGTGGACAAGGCTGGTGTCGCCAACGCGGTGAAGGCAAACCAAGACATGGAGATGTATCGCAATCGTGAACGCTTTGAGTTCCTTAAATGGGGTTCAAAGGCCTTTGACAACCTCTTGATTGTTCCTCCCGGCTCTGGTATTGTTCACCAGGTTAACCTCGAGTACCTTGCCCGTGTGGTGTTTAACCACGAGGGTTTGCTCTACCCAGACTCTGTTGTCGGCACAGATTCGCACACCACGATGGTGAATGGCGTCGGTGTCATTGGATGGGGTGTTGGTGGCATTGAGGCAGAAGCCGGCATGTTGGGCCAATCGCTCTCTATGGTGCTGCCGCAGGTTGTGGGGTACCGCTTTACTGGAAAGTTGTCCGAGGGATGCACGGCGACCGATCTTGTGCTTACCGTCGTGAAGAACCTTCGCAAGTTGGGCGTGGTGGGTAAGTTTGTGGAGTTCTACGGACCTGGTGTTGACGGCCTCTCCCTGCCTGACCGCGCAACGCTGGCAAACATGGCCCCAGAGTACGGTGCGACCACTGGCTTCTTCCCAATTGACGGAGAAACGATTAATTACCTACGATGCACGAGTCGCAGCGTGGAACACTTGGATCGCATTGAGGCGTACGCCAAGGCCGTTAAAATGTTCCGCACAGGTGAAGAAAAGATTGAGTATTCGCAGCAACTTGAACTGGATCTTTCTACTGTGGAACCCGGTGTTGCTGGTCCTAAGCGTCCCCAAGATCATGTGCCACTAAAGCATATGAAAGAGGACTTTACGGCTTGCCTCCAGTCCAAGACGGGTTTCAAAGGCTTTGGTGTTCCCGCAAACGAGTTGGGGAAGACAAAGAAGTACACCGTGGACGGGAAGGAGGCAGAGATGCATCACGGCAGCGTTGTGCTCGCGGCCATCACCTCATGCACCAATACATCCAACCCTAATGTGCTTGTCGCTGCTGGATTGCTGGCGAAGAAGGCCCTTGAAAAGGGGCTGGCGGTGCCTCCAGGAATCAAAACTTCATTGTCCCCCGGTTCGCACGTCGTGACAAAGTATCTGGAGGCCTCTGGTTTACAGGCCTCGTTGGATGCCTTGGGCTTCAACACGACTGGGTACGGTTGCATGACCTGTATCGGCAATTCTGGCGAACTTGACGCGGAGGTCGCCAAGTGCATCAGCGAAAACCATTTTGTGGCAGCCGCCGTATTGTCTGGCAACCGCAACTTTGAGGCGCGCATCCACCCACTGACATCCGCAACTTACTTGGCCTCACCACCCCTTGTTGTGGCTTATGCTTTGGCAGGGCGAGTTGATATTGATTTTGAGAAGGAGCCTATTGCAAACGGCGTGTTCTTGCGGGATATTTGGCCCAAGGACGAAGAAGTGCATGATGTCGTAAGCCGCCACGTTACACCAGAGCTGTTTAAGTCGGTCTATGCGCATATTACGGACCTCAACGAGCAGTGGAATGCGCTCGAGGTGAAGGAAGGTAAGCTGTATGATTGGCAACCCAATTCAACGTACATTCACCACCCGCCCTATTTTGAAAACATGACCATGGAAACTGCCTCCACCACAGTGATTAAGGACGCGGCATGTTTGGCCTACTTTGGTGACTCCATTACAACAGATCATATCTCACCTGCGGGCAACATTGCCAAGGACTCTCCGGCGGCTAAATTTCTCCAGGAGAAGGGAGTGGAGAGGAAGGACTTCAACACGTACGGGTCACGTCGCGGTAACGACCTTGTAATGGTGCGAGGGACATTTGCAAACACACGCCTTGGGAATCGGCTTGTTGGTGAAGGTCAGACAGGTCCTTTTACTATCCATTTTCCAACCAATGAAAAAATGTACATTTTCGATGCAGCCATGAAGTATAAGGCGGAGAACATTCCTCTCGTGATTCTTGCAGGGAAGGAGTACGGCAGTGGATCCTCGCGTGATTGGGCAGCCAAGGGTCCTTCCATGCAGGGTGTCAAGGTTGTCATCGCGGAGAGCTTTGAGCGTATCCACCGTTCTAACCTTGTTGGTATGGGCATTGTGCCGCTCCAGTTTAAGGAGGGTGAGAGTGCGCAGTCTCTTGGCCTTACGGGCAAGGAAAGGTACTCGTTTGATTTCTCTGCCGGATTTCGCCCTGGCCAAGAAGTGACTGTGCGGAAGGATGATGGTTCGTCGTTCAACACCAAACTGCGTGTTGATACCGAAATGGAGGTCAAGTATATGGAGAACGGAGGTATTCTGCAGTACGTTCTCCGCGAAAAAGTCCGTGGTGGCTTGTAAGTAGGGAAAGCGCGGAGAAAACAAAAGGAACAAAAAAAAACAGAATATATACTTATATTATACCCAACTTGTCCCACTGGTTTGTGTGTGAGGTAGAACAAGACGAAGTGCGTAATTTCAATTCTGTATACGTCTATTCATGGTCTTAGCAATGTATCTCGCGCCCCGAGTTGGCGACAACGTGAAGGGTTATGAAAAGAGGAAAACAAATAGCTTCAATGTTTACACCCTCCGCTTTACTACCACCCCCTCCTTGTGTTTTTTGTTTTTGTTAGAAACTTGTGGAAGGAATTTGTGTCCACATGCAGCTCAGGAGATATGATGGACAACATCTATATATATATATATTT